CGGCGGTTGTTAGCGCGTCCGGCCAGACCGGGGCGTGACACCAGGAGCAGGCCCCAGGCCCAACTGGACGTCCGTCTCCACAGATTAGGCGGGGAAACCCATATTCTGGCGGGAAGCGCATTTAATGCTGGAGATTCGGTGGTTGGGGCATCAACCACTCATAGCCCTCCACATCAGCATGGCCAAATGCCCATTGGTGGTATAAATAGTAGCATTTATTTCATTGTAAGGGGTTGGCAACTTATGACCCTTAGCATTCCAGCTTATTATCAGCACTTAGCCTAGAACTCGCAGCTCTTCCTCTGCAGTTTAGACGAACGGCCTTCGGCCTTAGCAAGACATTGTATCGGGCCGTTATTTACCATTAATAATCTCCGAACCTTTACTTGCTATTAACCTTTTCTTAGTCCATCTTATTTGCTTGTTGGGTTAGTTACTCATACACACATAACTACTCCACTTGAAACCTTTGGGCTTACGTGTTGGACCCATAGGTTGAAGGAATAAACCCCAAAGGTGCAGAGACTAATTGGACGTCTGGCAGCACTGAGCCGTTTCATGTCGAAGCTGGCCGACAAGGCCATTCCTTTCTTCTGGATCATGAAGAAGGCGAATCCCTTCGAATGGACCCAAGAATGCCAGGCGGCCTTCGAAGATTTAAAGGCATACCTCTCCTCTCCGCTAGTCCTCACAAAGGCGGACCCAGGGGAGCAGAGCAGTTGTACATGTACCTAGCAGTGGCGGACTTGGCAGTAAGCTTCGTGCTGCTGAAAGAAGATAAGGACGTTCAGCGGTCGATATATTTTGTGAGCAAGGCGCTGAACAGCCTAGAGACCATATACACTTTGATGGAGAAGACAGTCCTCGCTTTGATAGCATCCATTAAATGCTTGGCGCCATACTTCCAAGCCCATCCAGTCACGATCTACACCACGCAGCCCCTTGCCACGGTCCTCAGGAATCCAATGGCCAGCGGTAGAATCACCAAGTGTTCCCTAATGATCAGCCAATACAACGTGGAATTCAAGCCGAGACCGACGATCACGGGATAGTCATTGGCAGATTTCATCGCCAAATGTACCGCGCGCACCGAGGACGGCTCCCAGGACAACGACTTCGACAACTGGTGGGAGATGTACATTGATGGGGCCTCGAGTGCGTGGGGTTGTGGCGGGGGAGCGGTGATCACCTCTCCCGAAGGTTTCAAGACATACTACTCCATGAAGTTCGAGTTCAAAGTCACTAACAACGAGGCTGAGTACGAGGCACTCATTGCAGGATTGAAATGCGCAAAGGCCCTCGGAGCAGATCGTCTGAACGTGAGAATGGATAGCCAGCTGGTAGTTACCCAGATGAACGGGGCAGCTGAAACCTTGGAGAGGATGAAGGTTTACAAGGAACTGGCGGAAGAACAGATCGCGCAGTTCGAGCAGGTGATTATTGACCAAGTACCCCGGGTAGAGAACGCCGAGGCTGATATCTTGTCCAAACTCGGCAACCCTCCATCTGATGATTTGGCGACGAGCATCCCCCGACACATCAAAGGGTTTGTCAGGCATGAGACGCTCCTGATGTCAGCAACGGAGACAATCCAAGTAGAAGTCATCTCCTTCGCCGAACCAGACTGGTTGAAGGAGATCGCGGACTACCTCAGAGATGGAACCCTCCTCGAGCCTCCGGCTGATGGCAGCACGGGGAAGGCAGCATGGATCAGGAGACGTGCTCCCAATTTTGAGCTCATTGACGGGCAACTCTACAAGAAGACGTTCGACGGGCCTTACTTGAGGTGCTTAACGTCGAGCCTAGCCGCAGTAGTCCTAGAGGAAATTCATGAAGGGATCTGCTCGAGTCATCAAGGGCCGCAGACCCTAACCCGGAAGATCATCCTGCAGGGCTATTACTGGCCCACCATACAACGAGATTGCTTCAACCAGACTCAGAAGTGTGCGGTATGCTAGCAATATGCAACAATTCCAGGACGTCCAACGAGTTTTTATACCCCGATGACCATCGCCTTGCCTTTTGCCAGGTGGGGGATAGACTTGCTGGGGTCTCTATCAAAGACGACTGGTGGGCGAAAGTTCATCATCGTGGCCATCGACGACTTCACCAAGTGGGTAGAGGCTGAGCCACTGGCCACCATAACAGAATATCAATGCCAACGCTTCGTCTGGCAGAACGTCATATGCCGATTCGGAATCCCAGTGCAGATTATTAAAGATAACGGACGGCAGTTCGTCGGCAAGGGTTTCGAATCATACTTAGCAAAATGGGGAATCCGGCACTCCAAGGCTTCGGTCGCTTACCCACAGGCCAACGGCCAGGTGGAGAACATGAATCGCACCATCATGGATGGCATCAAGAAGAAGCTAGAAGATTACTCATCCACCTGGCCAGAGCAACTCAATTACGTCCTGTGGATGTACAGGACGACCCCGAGGACTGCTACCGAGGAGACGTCTTTCGCCTTGGCCTATGGTTTCCAAGCCAAGGTACCAACGGAAGTGCTGGTACCCACACACCGCACAAAGCACTTCCAACTAGGGGTGGGCAAAAATACCGAACCGGCATGGTACCGAACCGAACCGGTATGGTACCGGACCGAAAAACGGGTTTGAAATGGATCTCAATTTTTTTTGTCCCGAACCGTACCGTACCGGTTCTAAACAATGCCATGAACGGTTCTCATAAAATGAGAACCGGTACCGGACCGAACCAGACCGAAGTATGATTTAATTATTTAAATTTACATTTATACCATTACTTTGACTAGTGCCTTCACACTTTCACCGCCTTTGCTAATTCATATGAAGTCTGGAACCCGACCAATGTATGGTTTAATTATTTGAATTTGTACTGTTATAGTTTATCTGAAATTTAGTAATCATGTAATACTCCCTCCACTCCAAATTGATTTGCAAAATTAACTTTTCTTGGTCAAAGAGCTTCATTTTATTCACTTAATTAGGATGTCAATTTTTAATTATATTTAATTTCGAGTTTGCAACTTTGAAGGGATTTAATGTAGTTTCTAAATATATAAATTTTAATTGTTAAAAATTAAATTAATTATCAATAAAGAGGATTTAACTTTAACATTGGTTGACAAAAAAGTATTGACTTTGCATATCAATTTGGGACGGATTGAGTATGAAAATTGATAAGTTATGTGGATTTTTGGAGGATGACTAAACTTTAATTTCCCCTTAAACACTTGGGAAAAAATGGCATTGTTTGGTATTGGTAAGGCATGGTACCCTCCCGTTTGAAAATAGAACCGTACCGAACGGGTTTAGGTATAAGACCAAACCGAACCGAACCGTTTGAATAGTAACGGTACGGGTACGAGTTTGGCCAAATATTGAACCGAACCGGACCGCGCCCACCCCTACTTCCAACCGGAAGACAACGAGGCCACCTTACGGGCAGAACTCCACTTCATTGAAGAACGTAGAGACCTGGCGGCCCGTGGAATGGAGGAATACCACCGGGCTACACAGAGATATTTCAATAAGGCGGTGAGAACTCGTGAAATTGACACCGGCGACCTTGTCCTACGAAAAAGAGAAAAGAGCAAACTGTTCGAAGGTGGCAAGATGGCAAAGAACTAGGAAGGACCGTACAGGGTCCAGCGGAGGTCCAACCACGGGACGTTCGTCCTCTCAACCTTAGGGGGTAACCCCGCTGGTGTCTGGAACGTTGAACACTTGAAGAAATTCTACCAATAAGCCGATGATGAAAATTTCCCCCGAAAAAAGAGGGGGGGGGGGGGGGGGGGACATAACTCCCAGAAAACTCGGGAATCCCGCTGGGGTAAACTGGTTCCGTGCTGAAATCTGTCCGAGTACCGAGTGTACACCGACTAGCGGACGTACATAGGACCGCAGATAAGGTAGTGGGGCGAAACTCTCGGGAACTCTTGTCACGCCCCGGACCTACCCGGACACGTCAACAACCCGCCGTACAGTACGAATAGTCAACCGCAGTCCAACTCATCCATACCATACAAGGCGTCTTGAATACCATTCACAATAGTACATCCATAAACAATCATAAAGTAAAATATTTAATTAAGCAGCGGAAACATTAATACAAGCAATCGAGCCACACGTGGCAAACACGGGCATACAAGCCCCAAATAATTATTTGGGAAATAATATCCATGAGCATTTAATAATATTGTTTTGAAAACAGATACGGAGGAAGCATGAACCACGTCTTCTCTCCTTGAGCTCCCCGAAGCAACGGGCGATGATAGCAAGCTTTAGCCCCTACCTGAAACTGTGAGGTGGCCTCCCCCGTGAAGGGGAGGTCAGTACTTGGAAGCATTTGACAAGTACAATGACAAGTAAAAGAAAGAGGTAAAGAAAAATGCATTTGTATTTTGAGATAATTATCAAGCACGAAATGTAAAGATTTAAGAGTTTTTCAAGATTACCAAATCATATTTTTAAATATAATTATCAAATTACATTTTTATCAATCATTTTTGAGAAAAGTTTAAATAGAATGTCATACAAAAGGAAGTGTATAAGACACACATAGCATTCAATTGTTAATAGTTGGGAAAATTCTTTCAATTACACATTTTCACCCAAAATAAAAACAACAAGTTTATTTTAAGAAGTAATTTGAGTTTGCATATCATTTTATGGAGTAATTTGAGTTTGCATATCATTTGAACTTTGTACCTCGTTTTAAAAAATATTTGTTTATGCACCTCAATCCCATGTGAAAAGATAAAATGCCCTCAATCAGAAATAGGTTAAACATCAACACAATTGTTAATGGATGAACACTTTTGTCTTTTCATATTCAATCCGGGTGCAAAACAATATTTTTTAAAAACAGAGTGTAAAATCCAATTTGTACAATTAAATGAGGTGTAAACTCAAATTAACCCTTATTTTAACTTTTACCCTCCCTCTATTAAAAACTGAATGCTGTCGAGGGCATGTTGGTCCATTTGAGGTTGTTCAAGCCACCTCTTCCCCTTGCTTATCGGTCTCAATTTTTGTTATCGTAGAATCCAATCTGGAAAGTCTGTGAAGAAACGCATCCCCTTCCCCGCCTGCAGACCAAGACTTTCAAATTTTTTCTAAGCAGAGATTCTACTCCCAACTTCTCAATCTATCCCATACACCGGGAGGCGGAGCCTGACAAAGAGATAGAGAGGGGTGTTCGTTTTCCGAGCATTATCTTGGACTAGAAATGTCACCGCACGGGGCTGCCACGGCGGCGGCCAAACAAGCCGAACAGCTGAGGCAAAACGGCAACACTTACTTTCAGAAAAGTCGATACGGAGCCGCCATCGATGCGTATACAGAGGTAATTGTCATTTCCGATGTCTACTCCTTTCTTTTGATGACTTCTTTCGGACCCGATTTTGATAGTAACGCCGCTATCCCCGAAATTGGTAGGCGATTACCTTGTGCCCCAATGTTGCTGTATATTGGACTAATCGTGCCCTGTGCCATCTCAAGCGGAAGTAAGTATGGTATTTGAACTTGTAATTATTCCGAACTATTGTCCTTTACTCTTGCTTCCGTATAGTGATTGGACAAGATTGGAAGAGGATTGCAGGAGAGCAATTCAGCTCGATTGTAATTCTTGTAAGGTGCGTTTGCCTGTAAATATTTCACTTTTGTTTGTTACTTTTAATACCTAAAATTCTTGAAATCTCATTTAAAAAAGAGAATTCTTGAAATCTATTTGGGTATATATTTGTCATCTTATTATAGAAAGGACTGAGTATTCAAAAAAGACCTTGGGCTGAGCATTATATATACACCTTCCAGTTTCAGTGATTTAACGCTTAATCTCCCATAGCAAGAGAACTCCAAAAATGAAATGACAGACCTGAATATTTACTATTTCTATGTAATAAATCCTTGATTTCTTTGATTACAAATAACATTGAGTTGAATTTGTGTATTGCTGTGTTACTTGTTTTGCCAAAAGGAATACTCCGTATTTCATCTAATCTTAATGAAGGATGCGTTTGAATTACAGGCACACTACATGCTTGGCCTTGCTTTGCTAAGGGAACAATCGTTTTCTGAAGGAGTCAGAGAATTGGAAAAAGTATGGCCTGTTCTCCCTGGCTCAATTGATTAAATCCTTAATTTTCATAAGAGAATCAATCAAGAGTGTTGTTTGGTTAACATTTGGGAAGAAATAGAGGCAGTCGATCAAATTACCCACTATAACCATTAACATCATTGTTCCTTCTTTACTCTTTGGCTAACAAAATGAACCGTCTTAGATTAGAATAGCTTGAGAAAGCTGTTTAAGGTTCAGTCATTCAGTTGCACAAACTGACATTATTAACTATGGTATTGTGTCCTTTTAGCTGATTAGTATTGTAGAGAAGAATTATGAATGTGGATAATGGATGATTATAGAGAAGGATGAGGATTGAATATATCTCATGTGCCTATAAGTCTCTAATTTTCTCACTCAATTGGTTGTAGGCATTGGATCTTGGAAGAGGTGCAAATCCCAAGAGTTACATGGTAGAGGAGATATGGCAGGAGCTTGCGAAAGCCAAATATTTGGAATGGGAACACGAGTCAACTTTACGTTCTTCTGAACTCTATAAACTGAAGTAATCTTACCCTCTTCTGTTACCAATCTATCCCGTGAAGGTTTTCTGCAACTATAGGTTAATTGTTTCTACTTCCATTTCTCCTCAGAGAATCATGTGAGACAGCTCTTAAGGAGAAACATTTACTTGACATGTCACGCATGGAAGGTTTTGTAGATGAAAAGAATGAATATTTTTCTAAGCAACTTGCTGCTTTAAATGGTGTGTTCAGGAAAGCAGCAGAGGATGACACCCCAGATGATGTGAGTATTTTACCAGTGTTTTTTCTTGTCCATCTCAATCTAATTCAACCTAATATGATCTTCAGAAGATGCTATTTACCTTGCAAATGTTTATAAAACTCAAGCCAGTTATAACCGTAATGTGGGATACTCAAACCACCCCACAAGTCCAGGCCAACCTAAACAATAGTAAAGTGAACAAATGGGCCCTAATCATCTTCAAACCGGCTTCCCAAGCCATTTAGTAGGTGGGTGCCTAAAAGCAACCAGTGCTCCAATCATGGTACCAGTGAAAGTATGCCCAGCTCACCCTAGAAGCATCCTCAAGATGCGACGATTACAGTTATGGGCATGTGTAGGATATCAGTACTAGAATTATGAATGTAATTCATTAGTGTAATTACTTTCCTATCAGTAATCAGCAATACTAGTTTCTTATTAGTAATACGTAGTAAGAAATACTAGTTTCTTATTATTTGCGTTCTTTTTAGTTGACATTGCTAATATGAATAATGTAATGGTAGGACTCTATTAGTTGTTCTTGAAGACTCTTGGGTAGTATATAGCGAGTAGTTCTTTATTTTCATGCAGCTTTCATTTTTTTTCTTTTCTATTCCCAACCACACCTTATAAGACAATCAACTAAAGTGGGATATACAACATTTCCAGGTGCCCGATTACTTATGTTGTAAGATAACACTTGACATTTTACGTGACCCTGTGATTACTCCATGCGGGATCACGTACGAGCGGTCGAAGATCCTTGAACATTTGGAGAAGGTAATCATTCCTGACATATTGGATTCAAATATCTTACACATTCTGTTACTTTCTGTATATGATATATTTATCATATGTTTTGGAACAAGTTTAGGTATGATATATTTATCATATGTTTTGGAACAAGTTTAGGTGGGGGGATTTGATCCGATGACTTCAAGATCTCTATCTGCATCTCAATTGGCTCCAAATTTGGCCATTAAAGAAGCAGTGCAGGCATTTTTGAATAAACATGGCTGGGCTTACCAGATAGATAATTATAGTTAACATTTTGGTGCATGGTAGATTCACATATCATTACGTCATTCATACAGTTTTGTTCAGTGTATATGTTTGGGCTCTTAAGGCCTTTATCAAACTGTACAGTGATTACTGATTATGATGATGATATTTATGTACAACTTGTACTGCACACTTTTGTTCCTTTTTTTGCATACAGACCAGTAGTTGAGAGAGCTGAATGCATGTGATATTGTGAGCGCATTTGGTGTGCAAAAAATGGGTTCACAGACTGGACAGAATGGTTTGAGATCTTTTAAAAGTTAAGTGGCTAGATTTGTTGAATAAATTGAATAGATTTACACTGTATATGCTCTACAGATTTAAATTCCATAAACGAAAGAACAATAATCATAATATGCAGTGTCTAAAAAGCTATAGTCGTAGGATACTACGATTACGATGTAGTGGCCTTTTTTTAATTATCTAAAGATGGTCTCCGAGAATGAGAATTGTACATATCAGTATTAACCAAGGGCTGTTTTAGCACTTTAGCAGTAGATCAGTTTTTTACTTGCAAAATACTCCGTAAGTTAATGTATGTTGAACTTAGTCCGTAGGAGAAATGGAGAATTGAATAAAAAGTCAAAAACCGATTGGTTTGATTTCATTTCGGTAGATCACGAAACTGGACTGTACTAATTCGTTGGCGATCTTGTATGTTGTTTATGACCGTTCACAGGATTGGTGTTGAAGAATATAACCGGGTGTCCCTTAGTTAGGACTAAGGACCGAGAATCAATGGCTAGGAGCCTAGGGTGATCTTTGATATTAGTTTCCATTTTCCCTTTTTTGGGAAAATGGAAACTAATAATCCAACCTTTTAGCGATCTTCTTACAATAATCCAACCTTTTGGTTATTCATGAATAATCCAACCTTTGCAACCCATCGTCATTCACTGGTCACTGACCGGTTGATGACTTGCTATTCCAAGCTATTTTCTTATCTTTTCAAATCATTATACCATAAGTCTCATCTTTCACAAAAATAATATTTTGCAAAGATAAGAAAATAACTTGGAATAGTAGGTCATTACCCGACCAGGGACGAATGAATGAAGATGAGGTACAAAAGTTGGATTATTCATGAATAATCAAAAGGTGGGATTATTGAAAGAAGACCGCTAAAAGGTTGGATTATTAGTTTCCATTTTCCTTTTTTTTACAGCAACAAACTTAATTGTCATTAATGAAATCAAAGGTAAAAGCATAAAAAATAGGGGTGTGTTCGGTTCTTTCGGTTCGGTTTTGACCTAAAACCAAATACGGAACCAAAGTAAAAGTTCGGTTCGGTTTCGGTTCAGTTTTACACTCCAAAACTCGGAACCACGGTTTGATTGGTTCAGTTTGTTTCGGTTTGGTTTCGGTTCTTTCGATTTTTTACTAAAAATTTGTCATTTGATTTAAATGACAAATATATAAAAAAAGTTCGGTTTGATTGTTGGAGGGATCAAACATAGTACATAAAAAATGCAAGCATACTAGAATAAATAAAGTAAAAATAAGAATAAATAAATATGTCTTGAATTATATGAGTATGTGGGAGAGATATAAGTGTATATATTCTTAATTTACATTGTTTGTGACTAGTTTGAAAAAAGTTTATGAATACATACATCCTATGTGATATAGCTGAGATGAATATTTATTTGTTTATCAATATAAAAAATGTAAGTTACATAAAAATAAAATTTAATTACTACTAATAACTAGTAAAAACAATAATCATGCAACAAATTACAACATACATACATAAAAGACATAATTGATCAATATAACTACATTATTATGAGCAATGAATTTGTAAATGCATTTATAAACTAAACTAAACTAAACATAACACAAACATTATTTCTCTAGCACAAGAAAATCAAAGATTATTGATGATAATAGGATTAATGCTTAAAAATTAACAAATAAAATTTCATATATTAATTAGTTCGGTTAGTTCGGTTCGGTTTTGAAGAAACCAAAACCGAACCAAACAACTACGGTTGGGTTCGGTTTTTTACATTCGGTTTCGGTTTTTAGCGGTTCGGTTTTATTTGGTCGCGGTTCGGTTTAATTTGATTCGGTTTTCGGTTTTTCGGACTTAGCCCTCAAAAATACAACTCCGAGGAAAAGATAACCAAATCTGGCTAATAGATATAGAACCCGCCGCTCTAGCTAATTTATGAGCAACTGAGTTCGCTGAACGCCTAATAAAAGAAAAAGATATACTCCCTCTGTCCCTAAATGTTGTTCCATCCCGCTTTTCGAGAGTCAACTTAAATCACTCTTAAACTCTTACTTTTTGTATCAAAACTTTATGAAAATTGATTTTTTTGCAGGTTTTGTAGCGGGTTTAATGTAGTTTCTAAATATGTAAATTTTATTTACTAAAAATAATCCGAGTTTTCACAGGGATCATTTAACTTTACCGTCGGTCAACCTTCGTAATCCGCAATTGGAACAACATTCAGGGACGGAGGGAGTATTAGTAAACTCTGAGCTCAACACTCTAATGTCCTGCGCCAGTAGACCCTTGGGCCTTGGACGACCAACACGAATCTGATTCTACTTCAATGCAATCCTAATTATGATCCTTGAACCAACTTAAAGCTTCACGAATGCCTAATAATTCTGCTTGTGAAGGATTATAGCAGCCACTCCCAGGTGTAGCGCCCCCTGCCCAAAAATCTCCGACATCATTGCATACCACCCAGCCCAAACCGTAACCTTCAGCCAGCCCGTAGCAGGTCTGCACCACCTCGGCCTACCCCCTTCCAACCTCATCCCAGCCATACTGCCTTTCTGTTGTTCATGTCTCCAGCTCTCTACAAAGGATTTGGCTTTGTGCATAAACTGCCTGGGAGCGAGAAACTCTCCCTGCCATACCCTTCTGTTCCTCTCAGCCCACAGACCCCAGCATCCCCAGGCCACAACCGCCAACTCCTCTTTCTTTACTTTAAAAACTTCCTGAAGCCATTCTATGAAAGATCCCGAGAGCTGCACAGGAACCAGCCATCCCAAAGATCGCCAAGCTTCAACAGCCACCGGGCATTGTACAAACAAATGTAAAGTTGACTCCGTCCCCAAGCCACACAGTCCACACCGCACCGGACACCCAACCCGGCGCTGTCGTAGGCTCTCCGTTGTCGGCAGTTGGCTAGGAGCATCATTTATTCAACAACAAACTTACTAATTACTAATTACTGTAATGTCATCATTATTTCTCATATCATCCCAACCAATTAAAATAACATCGAGTGATCGTAGTATAAGTCAATTTAAATTTAGGTTAGTTCGATCAGTTTAATTGTTTAAAACTGATTTGGACTAATTTCATATGATTGGTTTTTGCTCCGATTGAAAGTCTGAAACAAGTCAGGAAGTCTAACCCCAAACTCAAAGAATAAATTTATGGAGTAAGTTTGACAGATAGAGACCGAGTTTGACAAAATTGGTTTTGTCTGTACACACAAAAAAAGCCTACAAAGACATGTGTAAAAGTGTGTACAAAAAAGTGTGTACCTTTATAATTTTTCTAACAGCTAACACAAGTAGCCACTTGCTATGTACTACTATTATGCTTACACAGGGAGCACCAAGTAGCCACTTGTTACGTACTACTATTATGCTTACACAGAGAACACCATTGCTTGCACAGCCTTACATTAGTTACCCCATCTAAATGAATACTCCCTCCGTCCCATAAAACTTGACCAAATTTCCTTTTTTGACCGTCCCAAAAAACTTTGCCATTTTTATTTAAAGTAAGAAATATGTGGCTAAAATTAATTCTTTCTCCTTTGAACAAATTTCAACCACACAGTTTTTACTTTATTAATCTATGTATAGTTAACTTTGGTCAAGTTTTGTGGGACGAAGGGAGTATTATTTATGAATTTTCATATGTTATGAACCTATTGTGATGTCTAGTACACAGTTATGCACTGCATACATTATGATCCTATTTAGCTTTCATAAGTTTTTTTCCAACATCATCTAAATGGTTTAGTATTAGAAAATTTTACTGCCTCCGTCCCTTTTTATTACGCAGTTACGCACTGCATACATTATGATCCTATAAACTTTGATCCATTGTTTTAACGAATATATATGTGAAACTTAATAAATTTATACTTTTATGATAATACTTTTAACAAAGAATATTTTCATTTATTTTCATATTATCAATATTATCGTGTATAAATATATAAGCTATCAAAGTTGAGCATCATTGACTCGGAAAATAGTGATTGGCTAAATAAAAAGGAACGGAGGGAGTATTTAAATATTTAATCACCATTACTTGTTTCCCTTCTAAAAGTTTTTTTTGTTCATTTTATAGAGAACGGAAGATACTAATTCCTTCCCTACTCCCCCACCATCATCTTTAGATTGTCCACTAAAATCTCACTCTGACATAAACTTAGCCATGTAAGTGTGCTAAGCATGTTCATAGTTTAAATGAGTCTCTTAAGCTCTTTTAGTATATAAGTTTCTGTCGCAATTGATAAGTTATTGGCTTCACTAAGTTACTGATTCACCTTTTGGTATAAACAGATGTACAAGAGGTCGCTGAAAAGATGCTTTGGTTCACAAGGATTTAAAGTGCAGGAAAGTAAACACATCTCGTAGACAACACATATGTCCACCAATGTAAACTCAAATGTTGACCCTACTCCATTTGCGTCAGAGGTTATTGTTTTGAGTTTCTCAGGGAGCAATTAAATCCTTTTCGTTTTGAAAAGAGACTTGCACATAAATTAACAAAAGCTGACTGCTCCAAAAAATGAGCATTGATCCAAATTCTTCATGTTCAGAAGTGGGTGTGGGGGTGGCTTGGTGCTATTCATATGCTAAGCAAGCTAGCTAGAGAATGGATCTGTTGATGGTTGTGGGATCTTCTAAATACTGTTTTTTTTTAATTCAAAATGGAACAACACAATTGCCCATGTCAATGAAGCAGTCTTAAACAAAATTATAATGTTGTTACAAGAAGTTGGTTCATTTTTATTGTCATAAAGATTAACATTTTAAGTAGTGAAAATCAGAATTCTAACACCCAGTCACTAAATACAATTATACAAATATGTAACTATGAAGTCTGCAGCGCTCCATTGAACTTCACTTCACTTGAAAGTCTTCTATTAAACCTGAAGTATTAAAACACAT